AGATCTCAATTGTCTTGGAGATGGGAAGATTCAGCAAAGGGTTGTACTGAAGTCTGTTTTTGTCCTGGTGCTGGAAACAGACATCCTAAGCAAAGGAATAGGAGAACAGAACAGCTATGAATATACTAGTTTGTTGCCCTTAAAAAAAACCCATCTGTTTTCAATGACCTTAAGTCCATTTTCTTTTTTTTTTGAGAAGTCCATTTAGGAACCATGGTGATGCAGTGGTTAAGGTGCTTGGCTGCTAACCACAAGGTTGGCTGTTCCAACCTACCAACCACTCCATGGGAGAAAGATGTGGCAGTCTGCTTCAGTAAAGATTGATAGCTTGGAAACTGTGTGGGGCAGTTCTACTCTGTCCTATAAGGTCAATACGAGTCACAATCAACTTAACCGCAGTGGGTAAGTTCATTTACATACAAAGTATCCTGCTAATTTTAAACAGCACTGATCCTATAGGCACTGGTTTTATGACTTTTTTTTTTTAAAGACAAACAGTTGCCATCAAGTCAATTCTGACTTGTGGTGATCTCATGAGTGTAGGATTAGAACTGTGCTCCAAACGGTTTTAAATGGCTGTGGATCTTTCAGAAGTAGATCACTAGGCCATTTTGCTAAACTACCTCTGTGTAGATTTGAGCTGCCAACCTTTCCATTAGTAGCCAAGTGCTTAAATGTGCCACCCAGGAACGATGCTGTGATACCAGCTATACAAACACTGAATTACAGGTTAGATTCTTGGTATTTCCTCCACCCCTTCCTACTGCTCCTCCCTCAGGGCTGCCCACTCTCTCACCTCCCCTTGATTGAGCAATCAAAAGGTAATTTAGCACCTGGCACAGAAGCAACCAGGATCTGTTCTAACTGGTGGGTGCCCATGCTATGCAGGTGGTCAAATGTCACCTGGGATTAGAAATGTTTGCAATCTACAGTGATTTATGAAAGCAACTTGCCCCAAGGATGTTTGATTATCATATTTAGTTACAGCATACAATTATTTTTTGGAGTCCCTGTGTAGCACAAATGATTAACTGCTTGGCTATTACCCAAAAGGTTGGAGGTTACTAGCCAAGGAATCTACCCAAGGTTCCTCTGAAGAAAGCCCTGGTGATCTACTTCCGGATGGTCACAGGCAACAAAAACTCTACCCAGCACAGTTCTACTCTGACATGCATGGGGTTGCCAAGAGTCAGAAATGACTCAATAACAACTGCTATATTCCTTCTTCTTTTTTTTTTTTTTTTCAATTTAACAAAAACCCATATTGTATTTAACATGTACCAGGCATTATTTTAGGAATCTTTGCAAACATCAACCCTATGAGATTGGTAATATTATATTCTCCAGTTTATATCAGTGAGGCATTGACTGGTGTTGAGTAAGTGGCCAAGCTCACCCAGCTGATAAGTGGAAAGCTGGGCTTCCAGGTCAATCTGTTGCAGAGTCTGTGGCTCTTAACCACAGAAAATGTAACTATTCAGTAATGAGAGTAATGAGGTAGGGTGGTTGGTTTTTTTTTTTTTTTTCTTTTGCCAAACTCAGATTCATGAAGTAGACGCTAGCATTCTTCCTCTCTACCATTTGTTTCTACCAAACTTAGAGCTGGGGAAACAGGCCCAAGTCATAAAATCATTGGGGGGAAGAGCCAGGACCAGATGTCACCTCTCAGCTCCCTGTTGATCTCATATTGGATTGCTGACAGCCAGCCTGTCTCCTCAGAAATCAATTTAGGAAGTGTGGTGGTGGTTTTAAGATTGTCCATAAATTCTTTTTATGAATATATTTGATGAATTTGAATTGTGGCATTGGTGAAGAATATGAAAATACCATGGACTGCCAGAAAACCAAACAAATCTGTCTTGGAAGAAGTATAGCTGGAATGCTCCTTAGAAGCAAGAACAGCCAGACTCCGTCTCACCTACTTTGGTCATGTCGTCAGAAGGGACCAGTCCCTAGAGAAGGATATCATGCCTGGCAGAGTACAGAGTCAGTGAAAACAAGGAAGACCCTCAACGAGATGGATTGACACAGTGGCTGCAACGATGGGCTCAACCCTAGTCAAGATTGTGAGGATGGCGCAGGACCAGTCAGTGTTTCATTCTGTTATATGTAGGGTCACTATGAGTCAGAACCAACTTGATGGCACTTAACAACAACAACAATCAATTCTTTAATATTTCCTCCTTTTAAGAGGTGGAGGCTATTTCCTCTCCACTCAAGTGTGGGCTGGACTTAGTGTCTCTCTTCTACTGAATAGAATAATGCAGAAGTGATGGGAAACTAGGTCATTAAAGGCACGGCGACTTCTTCCTCCCTCTCTTTTTTGGATCATTCACTTGGAGGTAGGGAGGTGGGGCGGCTGTCATATTGTGAGAACACTCAAGCACCCGGTGGAGAGGTCCATGTGGTGAGAAACTGAGGCCTCCTGTGAACAGACATATAAGGGAACATCTTGGAAGTGTGGATCCTCCAGCCCCTTCAGATGACCCGAGCCCTGGCCAATAGCTTGACTGCAACCTCATGAGAGACCCTAAGCTAGAATCAATCTACTAAGCTGCTCCTGGATTTCTGACCTTCAAAAATGGTGCAAGATGGTAAATGATACTTAAAGATGCTAAGTTTCAAGGTAATATGTTATACAGCAGTAGATAATACAAGAGGCTCTGTGTTACCCTTACAATGCTATAACTGCACAAAGCGTTTTAGAAAGTTTTATACCACAGAGTAATCCAACTGAGTTTAAACATTTTTTGGCAATTCAAGCATTTTAATTCATATAGTCCTCCCCTTCCCATCCTGCCTTGCCCTTCCATAATCCAAAATGGAGCAGTCTTTTGAGTTGTTGTTTGTTTTTTCCTTTTTTCTATGAAGTCTACACCAAGTAAAACAGCCACATCTGAATCCCACCAGAGTTATTACTGCAGTCACAAGAAGTCCAAGCCTTATAATCATAATCATAATCATAATCATAATCATAATCTACTAGCTGGAGACTTGGAGGTCTGACAGTCTTTTGACATTCTTCAAATGACACCCTGAGGCTGGGCAGAAGCTTGGCAGTTTTTGGATGAGACGGCTTAAGTTCAAATCCTGCTCTACCACTTGCCACCTCCATGTATGACCTTGCCCAGGTTATCAAACATTCTGTGCCTCAACATTGCTGTATCTTTACATTGAAGAGTCTACTTTTAATACTACTCTGTAGAGTTATTTGTTGTTGTTGTTACGTGCCGTTGAGTCAGCCCCGACTCATAGCGACCCCTCCTTGGGTTTCCGAGGCAGTGTCACTACGGAAGTTGGATTGCCCAACCTTCCTTCCGAAGTAGAGTTATTGGGAAGATTAAAACAGTAAACAGTAGGACATAGTGCGCAATGTGATTCGTTGGCTGACTTTCAGAAGTAGATTTTCAGGCTTTTCTTCCTAGTCTGTCTTAGTCTTGGAAGCTCTGCTGTAACCTGTTCAGCATCATAGCCATGCATAAGCCTCCCTGGACAGAGAGACTGGTGGTAGCTGTGTATGAAGTACGTTGGCCGAGAATCAAACCAGTGTCCCTGCATGGAAGGCAAAGATTCTACTGCCGAACCACCACTGCCCCCACAGTGTTCTAGAGACGTTCCACTCTGTGTTGTCATCTGTTCCTCACAATAGCACTGAGATGTAGGCAAAAAAAAAAAAAAAA